GGGCTTCAAGAATGGTCATTCTGATGGATTGATTACATAATGTACGGATCAAAAGCAACTACCTATTCAAAGAGCACGAACTCAAGGATGAGCCATCCTCTTATCCAAAATTTTCTAATCCATTCTCAAATTTGTTCACTAATAGTAAATACCTAAGGCTTCCTTTTGGGGATAATAAGGTTTAGTTTGATACACGGAATTCAAAACATGGAATTAGAATTGGGGATAATAATTCTGAATATGCTGTTTGGTAGTATAAAAATGTGGATTTGGAATTGGTAGAACCAAAAATGAATTAGAGCTGGAGAATTTAATTTCATTTAAATCAATTTCATAGAATTTCAATTTCTTATTTAATTCTAATTCCATCAATTTTGTGTACCGAATAGACCCTAAGTGTCTGTTTGATACGGAGTACGTGGAATTGTAATTGAATTGGGAGTTGAAATTTTACGCAATTGATTTGGATGGAATTGAATTCTCCATTTCCAATTCATTTTTGGTACTATCAAATTCCAAATCAAAATATTTTTCTACCAAACAATGGAATTAGAATTGTTGACTCCAATTTTAATTTCACAGTTTAAATTGTGTGTACCAATTGAAGCCTAATTCTAATTTTGTTGTTTGATAGTACAAAAATATGTAGATTTGGAATTGACAGTTCTAAAAATGATTTGGAATTGGAGAATTCAATCCCTTTCAAATCAATTTTAAAAATTTCAATTCTCAATTCAATTCCTCTTCCATGTATAAAATGGATCTTAAGAATCCTAAGGATCCATTTGGTACACAGAATTGACAGAATTAAAATTAAATTTGAAATTTAAATTCTATAAAATTAGTTTGGATGAAACTGAAATTTCCATTTCCAATACATTTTTTAGACTACTAATAATGTTTCATAACAATTACATTAATGTTTCATAATGGTGCATGATTGTTAATTAAATCCTTTCAATAGCTAATAAATCATCTCTTTCATCCCCAAAATTTCTGCGACGGAAAATTTTCGTTGCAGGTCCGTCGCAGAAAACAAATCTGCACGGAATTTCAAATTCTGCAACGGAAAATATCCGTGACAGATCGGCAGTTTTCTTGTAGTGTTGACTAATATATACACAAGTCCAGCCATGAGAGTCTCATTAGAAGCTTCATTCCAGCTTGCTTTTTTACTAAGAAGCATTTCGCTTCACAGAGCGCGCATTTTCCTTCTATCAAGACACTAACACTATGTTTGATTCATGAAATTTGAAAGGAAAAGAAACGAGTTTCTCTCGTTTTCCTCACTAAAATGATCAAGATGAGTTTGGTTTTTCGTCCTCAGTAGATTTTGGATTGCCATTTTCTTTTCTCTTCTACTTTTCTTCTCTAACCAAACAAGAAAATTTGTTTTTAATCTCATTTTCTTTTCTTTTCCTTTCAAATTCTTTGTACCAAACGTAGTGTAACATATTTGACGTAAATAAGAATATAGGTCCACGGGTTATAATTTCTTTATTGGTTATTGAAATAATTTGACAACCAAAATGATTTTTATATTATTATTATTAATTATTATTATTATTATTTATCAGTGCCATTCCAACTTCTTTGTACTGTCAGCTTCAAGCCCATATGACAACTTTCTGAAGGCTGCTACGAGTTAGTTTGTATTTTGACCATTATTTTTCGCCTATATATATATGATCCATTTTTGTAAATTATTTCCCTTTCTCTATTTTTTTGGGTCATGTTAGGGTGTCCTCAAATGTTTGTTACCCGGGGTGCACCCGTGTTCCGCACAAATGACACCAATGATAATCACCTGTGCGACAAAGATGAGTGCACCCTTGGTAGCAACTATTTGGAGGCACTCTAGTTTTTTTTGCCACCGAGGATCCAAAAATTTGATCTGATATAGAAGCCTTCGTTCCTCGGTAATATGTTGTAAAGTTTTTTTACAATTTAGATTACTGAAAATATAATGTGGTGTGGAATGAACAACTTTTTATTAATTTAGAGAAAATGATTTATAGAATGTGCATGCACTCGGCAGAAAATACGTAGTAGTAGATGGAATGAACAACTTTTTATTAATAGTGTATATTTCAAATCCTGCCAACTATTTTGAAAATAGTTAAGTTAAATGTTGCAATTAAATATACTAAAAACTACTTCTCGGTACCAAATATGCACCTCATCTCTTTTGCAAACAAAGTATCGAGAAATAATATATCTGTTTGTAAGAAACTATGAATAGAAAATAATTGTAAGATGAAAGAAGCATTGGAAAAAAAGTTATAGTGCAAAGGAAGTTTCTAATCATGACAAGTCAAAGTGAGTATCATTTTTACTGTTTTAGTTTGACGTGTTTGTTCAATTTGACTTCTAACATGCGAACTGAATAAAATTTACTCGGTAATTATTAATTTAACAAAATTTATATTTCATATTAGTACAAAAGGATTTAATTAGATTTATTCTGCAAAAAATTTTAAAAAATTATTTTATTTAGTATGGATTAATAAATAATATACGAGTAATTTTTAATAAATTGATGGATAAAATTAATCCAGCTTCACTATGAAAAGTCAACCTAAATAATTGTAGTTGAATGAAAGAATCTTAAATTCTTACTACACCCATGATCCATCCTATTTATCCAAGTTTAAATTTTTGTAATAAAAAATTGATAAACATTGATCAATAATTAATTTTGTAAAAAAATTTATATGAGATATTAATACAAGAATAATATTATTAAATTTATCTTATAAAATAGTACTTTGTATAAAAAGTTACTCCCTCCGTCCCACTTTAGATTACAATATTCCCTTTTAGTTGAAATTAAGGAAGAGCCAAATCAATTTTTTTTTTCCCAAATTACCTTCTAAATCCCCTCAAATAGTGTGGATAGTGGCTGTCAGAAAAGAAAAGGGATGATAAAAGAGTCAAATCACTATAAAGTTATTGACTTTGTAATCCTTTTTGGAACAAAAATGTGAGGAAAATATTGTAATCTATTTCGGGACGGAAGGAATACTTTACTTAATAATGTATAATATAGATTATAATTTTAATTTACTCCCTCCATCCCAGAAAGAATGCCACGTTTACTATTCTGGCCTCTCGATAACCTTTGTTTGTTTACTCGTTTTGGTTGACCATTTCATAAAATAAAATATTTTTGTCGCATCTTGTTTTGTAGAGCTTTTCATATACTTTTAAATGGTGTAATTTTTACTTTTTATTATTCTACCAATTTGAAATTAAAGTGATTTTAAAATAGATGATATTTTGCACGTTGTTCGAAATGTTGCAAATAAATTGGGACGGAGGGAGTAATTATAAAATCTTGAACTTGATTGAGTATAAAAGGTCATATTCTCTACGTCCCGAAATACATTATTCCCTCCGTTCTATAAAATCCTTCCGGTTTTGACTTTGGGGAAAAAATAAAGAAAACGTAATTTTGGTTGACTTTCCAATTTTGCTCCTGATGTGATGGGAAAAAGTAAGATGTGATAATTTGGTTATTAGTGAAAAAGTATGATGTGATAGGTAGAGTATGAAAAAGTAGGGGTAAAAGTGGTTTTTTAATAGAAAGTGGAAGTATTTTGTGGAAAGCAAAAAAAACGAAAGAGGAAGAGTTTTGTGGAACGGATGAAGTATAATTTTTTCTCTCCACTCGAAAATTTTATTTATTTGTGTGTTTTTATTGATATTTAATAAAATAAAATATTTTTTTATATTTCATTTTGTAGAATTTTGACGTAATATGTAACTTTTATTTTGTATTTATGTACCAATTTATAAATAAAATAATTTCAAAGATGATAAATTTTACTTCGTAAAATTCCAATTTATAATCAAATTAAGGAGGGAGAAAATATTAATGTTAAATTACTCCCTCCGTCCTAAAACTTTCTTCCCAGAGCATTATTTCAACTTCACTGGAATTTATATTTATTTATGTTTTTTCATGGCCTATATGATAAAATAAAATATTCTTGTCACCACTTGTTTTGTTGAACTTTTAATGTAGTTTTTAAATATGTATGTTTTATTTTTTATTTCTATACCCATATATAAATAAAATAGATTGAAAAAACTTGGGATTTTTATTCGTTTTACGAACCGGGAAGAAAGTTTAAGGACGGATGGAGTAAAATATTCTAGGCACATGCCACGTGGGGTCTACAGTTGGAATGGATTTGCTTTTGGGCGGCAAATAGATGGGTGTTTTTTGTCAATGTCATCACCCGTCAAATCCTCACATGGGTTTGATATCTCTCCCCGTCCTGATAGTGTCTATTTTGGTTTACGATATTTGACTGAAATTATTTTCTAATTATTTTATATGACAACTGGTATAGATTTAAAAAATAAAAATTTCATACTAAAATATTACATAAAAAAATATACAAAACTAGTAGTGATACCTCATTTTCAAGGCGAAGAGTTAGAAGATAAATTGAGTTATAATATCATACTATTAGCATAAAGGTGAGTTTTGTGTCTGATACTTGCAGAATCTTATGCTTTGCATGGTTGTCTCTCATCGTAATCACCAGATTTCGAACACAAGATCTCTTCTGCTTAGCACTCACATAGTCACATGCCAACCAGTGAACTACGCCTCATCTGCATGGATTTGATGTTACGATTTGGTTGGGGAGGGCAAGTATAGAGTTTATTCTCTTTCATTTATTTGATTGATTCAATCTGA